GACCCTTAGGAAAAATCCAAGACATACAAGCTGTGAGACCTCTCATGGATACTAGGTCCTGTAAGTTCATCTCCCTGTGAAAGCTCCTCGGCTCTTGTGCACTGTGAGAGCGCTGCGAAGTCACGACATTGTGGGGCCGTGCAGAGGTTCACTTATGACGTCATAGGTCTGTGACCTGACTTGACCCGAAAATGCAGTTGGTGTCAAAAGATCCGGCTTGAATGAAAGGTCTGGTAGGCCAAGTTTTGCCTCTCTATCGCCGGCGTGTTCCGAACTATCGCGATAAACCCATGGGGGTGGGGGCGGTACCCGTCTCCCCCTTCGGCCGGTGAGGGTTAGATGGACGACATTGGAAACACATAAATTAAGGCAATAACATAAAAATCCAACACATAGGCAATAAGTTGCTTGTGTCTTCCGGAAACGAACATCAGTTTGATCATTAATGTATGAGGCTTGTTTTCTATTCGTGGTAACTGCGATTCGGTACCTAATTCGTTTGGCACTGCAGCTGGTTGGCTCGACGTTCAAGACGCTCTAAATCGGACAAATGCGTTGACGAATGGAAAGTTGATGTGTAGCAGCCACGAGAAGGACCTCAATTGTACCAAGAAAAAGAAGAAGACCTTACGTGACACTGAAAGTAGGAAAAACGGGCGCACAATATTCCCCTCCATTGACTATAACACTCTCGGCCTTCGGGCAGAGTGATTTGTGACGTCACCACATTAGCTCCGCCCTATTCACAGCCGTCAGCCAATCAGCGCGCCGGCCGCTGTCCAACGGCCTTGAGCCAGCCTATTGCCAGTTTTTGATAGCGGAAAAGCAGGGGAGCAGACCCCCCTGGGAAGGTGGCACTTTTCCTTTAAGCCTAGGGGATCACCCTTTTGCACGTGCCGACGGCGCACCCCTGGCCCGATCACTCCCAAATTTTAATACAAAGGCCGCCCACGCCCACAGATTCGGCATGCCAAATTTCACGTCGATACGCGGCGCCTTTCAGGCGCAATAAGACACATAAGACATGACACACGGATGGATGGATGGAGAACGCACGGACGACTTATAAATCATAATATAGATAAACTACGCCTGGAGTTTGCTCTGATATGAATTGCATTTTATCATTATGACCTAACCAAATAACTTGAGTGACGTAGTTGGAAAGTACTTAGCATAATACGTGGCCGCTGGCTTCGTTCCCCACGCTGGCTCGCCGTTTTCAATGTTCGTCTGCGCACTGTACATCTGCAGCCCAGTAATCAATAAATGGCACAGGTACTCGCTTTTTGTTTTGTTTTTCGGAAGTAGTACGTTGGAGATGGAGACTGACTGAACCTTATTGAACTTAACACCACAAGTTGTCATCCTGACATATCTAAGTACACTTTCAACTGATGTTGGACATTTTACATTACAGGTATGGTAAGATACCCCACTTTGGTTGTAACTTGGTGGAGTCTGGTTTGCATAGATAATGCATTAAATATTGTTTTGAGCCTTACTAGTCAAGTATTTAGGTTAGTCAGTATTCAGTAACATGGCCCTTGGAAAATAGCGTTGGATTGAGTACCATTTTAAAAAAGCTTTGGCATTTGGAAGTAAAATTGCCTTGCACAATAAATTAACAAACTGCAAAGAAAACCCCTGCTTTCATTGACCAGAGAGGCATTTGTACCAAAACAGCAAACAGAGTGCATACATCCCTACATTCATTATCTTGTTGAGCAACATTACTAGGATTTGATTGCATCAGCAGTATCACAGATGATCTAGAAGATAGAGAAATTCAATCAAAGAGCAAGCAAGACAGGTGAAGAAGACCTCGCAACTCGTATCCTACGAGGTACTATTGGTCTCAAGATAAGGGCCCAGGCGACCTTAAGTATGGATGTGGTGAATACCCTCGCCCTTGCCACAACTCGAGTGGGGGTGGCGCTGGGCCGCTGAGTGGAAGGAGGGGTACACTCAGCCCGAGCTGTGGCGAGGGCAAGGGTATTCACCTAATCAAAACTGCAGGTCGACTGGGCCCTTATCTTGAGACCAATAGTACAAGGTATAAGGTACGTACTTACTTACTCCCAATCAGCAGCAATGCATCACAATAAAGCCATGTCTACAACGTGAGCCATTTTTTACATATGAAATAGTATGGACATCTGAGAAACTCGGTGCCAGGGCATTTAGTGAATTTTATAATGCTTGTATCATCTAATAGATCGGTAAGCATCAGTCATTTTGAACTGCTTCAGCTTTTGGAGAACAATAAACTAGTCTTGTTTACTGATGCTACTCAGATCCAAAAGACAACTGAGCAGTGAATCAGTGTCATTTTTATGACAGATATTTGTTGAAGAAATGGCAAAAAACGTGTTTGGCTACTAAATCATCCGAATGATAATTTGAATTGCGCTATTCAAACTTGCGCCAGCATTTTTGTTAATAAAAGCAAGGACACAATTGTGTTATAAATAAGGGCGTCAGCATCAGTATCAGTATCAGTGTACAATACAATACAAAATACAATACATCAGCATGGGGCGTCTTACCTATTGTAGGCTTTTTACACGATTTTCCCCCAAAGTATTAGTTAATTTTACTTGATCTGGAGCCACATCAACATACCCTAATGCCACATAAATATTGCCTAAATGCCACATAAAATATTGCCTAAATGCAATGCCAATTGCCATCTATCCTAAATGTCTCTACGGCGCCAACGGCGCCGGCACCAAGGTTATTCCTTTTCGTCCGAGCGCTACACGGGGTTGGGAAAAGTTTCGCATGGGGTGCCAATTGAAAGAAAATGTCACGTGACTGGCGTCCCAACCTTATCCAGGGGGCGTCGAAGTCTAGTTCCTACCAAACTGGCACTCCCATGCCTACGTCACCACGAGGACGCCCGAGGGCATTTACATGTTGAAGATAGGGAAATTGCCATAGTTTAGAGCCGCCTGGAGGGCAACCTTGAGATAGATGATAATGTAAATGTGTGCTAATATGATCATCGACATGTTATTTATCCAAATCCAGGCCCAATTAATCGATAACTTGTCACATTTTCCAGTGGTGATGCGCTAACTTTCGTGGTTCTTGCAGCCAATAAGGGTGTTTCATAGCGCGATTCAGCCGCATTATCGACTTTAATGCCATAAACCGCCACGGAACATATGATTTGCAGCTCCCTGGCGTGATAGCTGCCAGTAGGGCTCCGGAGTCTGAGTCATGAAGTCGGTCGGAGTTGACAGTTCTGACCTGAGTCGTCGAGTCGGAGTCAGAGTCGATTTTAAAAGCTAGAGTCTGAGTCAGTCACCGAAATTCGATCCCCTCAGCAGACCTTTCAGGGTTCCGTAGTCGGAGTTGTAGTCGGTCCGAGTTGACAGTTCTGACCAGAGTCAGAGTCAGAGTCGATTTTGAAAGCCAGAGTCGGAGTCGGAGTCACCAAAAATCCATTGCCTCCGCAGACCTGCTAGGGCTGTGGAGTCGGAGTCGGTCAGAGCCGACATTTGAAATCAAAGTCAGAGTTGATTTTTGAAAGTCTGAGTCAGAGTCGGAGTCATCAAGAAACCCATGGACGATCCGCAATGCCATGCAGTAAGGGCGCTGCCGATCGATGCCCTGAATTGCCTATGATTTATGAATTGAATGAATAAATGGCAATTAATTAGGTACCTTCTATTATTCATCCCTTGCCACTTGGAGGACTTACTTTCAGTAGAAAAAGACGCATTTATATTTGTTTGTTTATTTATTGACAAATATTTTTTGAGCAGTTAGGGATACAGACACAAAACACAATTGATAGCACCTCGCTGGTGCAAATCATTGCTAAATGCTAGATAGATGTTGAAATGTGTTACCATTGAAGAATCTACTGATTTTCCTGGCGGCTCTCGTTTTCAAGTAACTACTGGTCTTGTAAGATCTCTTGATTGCTCACCGTCTGGTGTCTAGTTCCAAGGTTTTCTGAAAGCTAATCAAACGTTACCATGGCTGCTCTTGATGGCATAGCGCTTGCTCATTGCTGGTTCTGGGTTCTTAATTGGTGGTTCTTGCGTCTGATCCTGTTGCTTCATGTTCCATCACATCACATTAAATTTCTAATGGAACAGACACTTCTACCTTTTATTTCACTATCAGTCGACTTGCATTTACCCATGTGGCCTGCTGGCCCTTTTATTTCCACGATAGAATCTACCAATTATTGAAAAAGCCTCCGATAAAAAAGCAAGAAAAGTATGTCAAGTTAAATAATTGCGACGGTCCTAGAAAACCAGGAAAAGAAAATATCAAAAAGCCTGTCCATCTCACTTCCCCCACTTCATAACAAAAACCACGCAGCAAAACATGCGAAAGAGTCCTTAGCAACGCCTTAGCAACGGACTTGTCTGAAGTGCGCAATATGTGTCACATCTGGAAAATTTAGTAGCTACTTGATTATTCAACTAGAGTTGGACTATATAAGCTAGGCTTTTATATGGAAAATAATTGTTTGCTTATCCAATTTATAGCAACTGGTTGCTTAACTTCAAAATAATGATTTATTACAGAAAAAGCTTGTTTGCGAAATATTTGTAAAGAAACAACGGAAATAGCTTTGACTCGTACGCTATTCTAGTACATTTTTGGTAGAAAACTTCGTCCAACCTTATGTTTTAGGGCCTTGACCTTATCTATAAGAATCTTGGTCCAGACATCATATGGTCACCGGGCTCCTCTCGCCGGTGAAACAGATAAACTTTAATCGGCGCAAAGCTTACCGATTACATATTTACAAAATAACCGCGAACCGAGCCGCGCCGATGGTGGTCGACTGTCCTTCTGAGTTGTGTCGGTGACAGAAGGCCTGAAGATGAGCATCCTGCATGTAGTGAGTGGTCACTATTGCGTCGCCACAGTGCTAAAAATGGAACATTTGGTCCTTCTTGGCTGTGAATCATCTTTCCCCGCTCCACATGCTCGTCGGTTTGCCCCCTGACATTTGCTGACCGTGTCCTCAGCTCTGTCCGGTCTGAGTCAGCTATCTCGGGACGAGTTGAAGCTGGTGCTGGCCTCGGTCCTCGACGGCAGCCGCTTCCGCGAGTTCAAGGGCAGCTACGGAGTCAACGTCATCACCGGCTTCGGCAAACTGGGCGGGTGAGCGCTGCAGCGAGCGAATGGAGAGGACCGGTCAGTGTGCGCTGGTCGATATTTGTCTTGACGGGATGCTCAATGACGGTACACGTTAACCATTACGAGGTCGTAGAGTCGAATCAGTCAGAAGGTGGGACATCGTAGTGCGAGACTATTGAGGCAGAGCTGGCAATGTCGTTTTACGAGCACCTGGTTAGAAATGGTACAGCCCAGCTGGCACTTCCTAGTGATAAAGCTGGCTCGTTTGCTGGCCATTTGTCTGTGCTTGTGTTGGTGCTCCCTCCAAAGACTCCCGCTCGCCGCTTTGTCTCGCCACTCGTTTGCTCTCTAGCTTACTCCTCTGTCGTTCCTACAGCTGACTCCTTCCCTCGCTATGTGTCCCGATCAGGCGCCTGGTGGATGTGGTGGCCCTCCCTCTAACGACTCCTTCCCTCGTGTGTATCCCGATCAGGCGTCTGGTGGGCGTGGTGGTCCTCCCTCTAACGACTCCCTCCCTCTAACGACTCCCTCCCTCGCTGTGTATCCCGATCAGGCGTCTGGTGGGCGTGGTGGTCCTCCCTCTAACGACTCCCTCCCTCTAACGACTCCCTCCCTCGCTGTGTGTCCCGATCAGGCGTCTGGTGGGCGTGGTGGTCCTCCCTCTAACGACTCCCTCCCTCTAACGACTCCCTCCCTCGCTGTGTGTCCCGATCAGGCGTCTGGTGGGCGTGGTGGTCCTCCCTCTAACGACTCCCTCCCTCGCTATGTGTCCCGGCCAGGCGTCTGGTGGATGTGATGGTCCTCCCTCTAACGACTCCCTCCCTTGCTGTGTATCCCGATCAGGCGTCTGGTGGGCGTGATGGTCCTCCCTCTAACGACTCCCTCCCTCGCCATGTGTGTCCCGGCCAGGCGTCTGGTGGGCGTGGTGGCCAACCACGGCACGGTCACGGCCCGTGACGCGCTGAAGATGGCGCACCTGGTGGAGCTCTGTGACCAGCGCGACATCCCGCTGCTCTACCTGCAGAACGCGCTGCCAGACACGGGTAAAGTACCCGACACAGATGTAAACCTACAGAATCGAGCGATGTTCTTGCACCCATAGTCATAGTCGAGCATCATTCGCCGCTTCGACATTCATTGCGTTTCTGAAACTCGTGCATTACGTACATCCAGTTATCCTATCAGTCGTATACTTGACAGAACTGTCTGGTCTCGGCTCCCAACTTTTATCCCTGTTTTCCCGGCAGTGGAGGAGTGCTCTGACCCGGAGGTGCTCAAGTGTCGCGCGCGGGCGGCCACCGTACTGGCGGCCTCCCGAGTGCCTCGGATTAGTGTCAACCTCACCGGCTGCCACGGCGATCAGCACATGACTATGGTACGTCTGTCACGGCGACCAGGACATGACTATGGTACGTCTGTCACGGTAACTGGGATTTTTGTTTTCATGCGGGCCGCATAAATGGTCAATGATTGTCCATCGTCTGGCACTTCATATAGATTGTTGATTCCTTGGTCCTAAATTCGTCACATAATTGAAGTGAATGCGTTTGGTGCGTCCTACACGCATTGTGCCTCTCATGAGCTTTTCTCGTTTCAGTGCGGTATTTCCTTCGAGCCGAGTTTCTACTTCGCGTGGCCTCGTGCCAAGTTCTCGGGCGTGTCCCTGTCGGCCGCCGCTCCGGCTCCTGACGAGGCAGCGGCGGCTCCCCCGCGGCCGGCGAAGCCTCCTCAGCCGGCCGATAAACCGACCAAGCCGGGCCGGCCGGCCAAACCGCCGCCGCTCATCCAGCTGCCCAAGGACTCGAGCCTGTACTACGCGTCACGGGTGCTGATTGACGGCGTCATCCGGCCCAGGGACACCAGGAAGGTGGGTGAACGGCGGTGGGAGGGTTGGGGACATTGTGGACGCGCTAGCAGTGGTGCGACTGTTGCAAGTTATCAATGCATAATGTGTTTCATCAACCAGCTACGGAAAACCTAACTGGCAGGAGATATTATTTTTGTAATGGCTGAAAATGTGTGTTTGGTTTAATTGCACCAGTAAGTGATTGCACAGAAGATGTCATATTCCAAGTCCACTGATATTCAGCATAGACGCAAGTGCGGACTGAGCCAAACATATGTCCTATTCAAGACAGAACTACGTATGGGAGCTACAAGCCTCACGAAGAGGCCTCACTTCCTGAAATTCTTTAAAGTCAAAACCAAAGTGATCAGAACAGAGTTCCCGACAGGACGAGACTGAGCCAGTTTGGGAAGCATTTGCGCCATATCCCCTTGTCGGAATATGTTTCAGACGCTGGAGCTGGCCCTGGCCGTGGTCAGCTGGAACACTCCGCACCAGGAGAGGAGACACCCGATCATCCGCATGTAGGAGGCTAGGGACTACTGGCGACTACCTCCTGAACGGCGGCGCCCGGAGTTATCGTGGCACGGCACGCCCAAGAGTTATCGCTGAACTCCGGCACGCGGCGCCTCAGAGCTAGGTATCCCCGAAACTCCCGTGTCGGCGGCGCCAGCCTTGATGGATGACGGGGCACTCGGAGTGGTTTCATAGGATTTCGGTGAAGTGTCCTTATCACGTTGTTATGTAGATGATTTGCGATGAATCGGTGCTCAATAATGAAGTTCTCCCCAGTTGGAAGTTCGCCCCGTGTTATGGATTGACAGTGATTTTGTGTGCGATGCTTTTGCTGGATAATCTCCACGCAGTGAAAGTTAGTGTGATAAGGGTCTAAGGGAGTCGATTTGCCTTCGAATCCCAAAACAAAATGCACTGGAAAAAGCGTTTAGCTTTCTGTCAGTTTTGCGGACAGATTGTGTCGCCTTGTTGATATCTTTATCGCGTGTTGAAATAAGCGTTTTTGGGATGGTTGAATGTTACGGGGATCGCTACTCGCTAGGTGCCAGAAACACGTAGAGAAATATCGATATTGATTTATAGTGTGAATATTGCAGTAGTTGTCCCCCGTCGCGTCGAGTGGTAATGTTCAAATGGTCTGCCTCAGCGGGAGCTCTCCCAGGAGGCCGAAACAGAAACAATGCAATTAGGTGTAAGGCAAGAAGATGAAACGAATATAAACCCACATTTGCCTTGTGAATAGTGTTTTTTATAATCTGCAGCTGACTTTTTTACAACTTAGGTTGGATGTGGACTGAATCTATTGCGGCCAATGTGACGATAAAGTTCAATCGGGCTCGTGATGTTCGTCCGACGGACTGAATCAAAGAAACTTTCAGCCCCATCGCTGACCGCATCTACCCGTAATTGATCAGACCTCGCCCTCACCTTCCCCTCTCGGTCGACAGCACTTGCTGAACGCGTGCCTATTGCTTAGACATTAACAGAGCCCGTGACCTGTGAAAAAAAAAATCGGGTCACTGGCAGAATTCACTGCCTTCACACAGAAGCGTTAGCGGACAGTCGTGCTCACCCGTCCCGACATTAGGATTTTCCAGACATGTAGGTACTAGGCGTATTATCGTGTATGAAAATTATTAATGAAATGGTACCCCATTTTCGCCATACCCGGCTAAGTCTGGCCATGCTATCTAAGTTTTTGGTTCATGACCCTTTCATTATTCTATGAAAATAAAGTTCCAGTAAGCTCTAAACCCGACGGAAGTCAACGCCTGAGGGAAATGGCCACGTTTGTGTCCGTACAACATACCTCCCTTTCTCACAAATGACCATTTACGAACCGATCCCCCCACCACCACCACCACCTCAATCCTCACCTGCGGGCTGCGAGACCGGTTATTGGCGAAGCCATTCTGTGTCGATGTCCATGTCCTTACCCATTGGGCAGATTGGGTACTCGGCCCCGACTGTCAATGTTCCGGTCACAGTCTTTGCACTTCCTCAGCCGTCGGCGCGTGCCACGCCCACTCCCGTCCGCGCGATCACGGTACTGTGGGGCCTCGGTCGTGTCGATTGGGCCGAGTAGTCGCCGTTCGCCCCGGGCGGTGGACGACCGTCGCCCAGGGCGGTGGCACGCGCAACCGACCACAGGCGAGCAGGAAGAACCGGCAGTGACACCAGTCGTGAAGCTCAGCTGCAAAGCCGAACGTAATACACTGTGGGCAGTACCATTGAAAAGAAGACTACGCTTGAATTTTGAACGTTTCAAAATAAAGCTTGCAGTGAAACAGTTCTATTTCATACAAGCACGGAATATATAGTCTACGACATATATTCGTATCGACATATGTCGTAGACTATATATTCCGTGATACAAGGCATGGGGACTTTTATCATCAGCCGATTCTACTTGTGGGAGGACTCAATAGGCCAGCACAGCACGTTTATGATCTGCCTCTTAAGTTCCGTAGTTTTGTTGAGAGCGTCAAGACGAGGAACAGAGAACGATCACGCGCTTTTGATAAGTGAAAACGCAGTTATCCATGTGGCGCCCCGTTTGCAGTGTGAAACACTGAAACGTGAAGCTTCCGAGCATGCAGGAATGCATTCGTTTGCGCAGTTTCGCTCGTGGTTGGCAGAAAGAACAAACAAATAAAAGTAGCATCAGCATATAGGTACTTGTATTGCACAGCTTGGATACATCACGTTCACTAACACAAAGTGCACTTCCAATATCTCAATCGGATCCTACGTTTCATGACGCGTCCCTGGTACATACATCCGGCAAGGTATCAAACTGGCATCAATCATTTGCAGCCGAGCACACTCCGGGCCGCTGCTCACAGTATACAAACACCCCCAGACCTCGGGGCGCGTGCGACATCACTAGGGCGTCTCGGCCGGCTGGAAGCGCGGCACGCCGTCGGTCTCATCCCCGGGGTCCTCGGGGTGTTCCGTGGTCTCCTTCCCCTGCCCGCCGTCCCCCGCCTTCTCCCTCTCTGCCTGTTTGGCCTGCACGGCCGGGAAGCCGTACAGCAGCCAGCGGTAGAAGGCCTGCTTCTGGGACTGGGTCAGCACGGCGTCGCCCGGCCAGGGGTGCTCGCGCTCCATCATGTCGGTCAGCGTCTCGGTCACCATCACCGGCAGCCGCACGCTGTGGAACAGCACCACCTTGCCGACGGCCGCGTACGCCATGCAGGGCGCGTTGGCGCCGCCCGAGCCGTACCGACCGGCCGCGAACGCCGTCACCGGCTCCTCGAACAGAAACTGCACCGCCTGCTTCTCCTAGAGGCGGAGGGGGAGGAGGGCAGTGAGCTGCAGGAGAGGCGAGAAGCATATTCCATACAAATGTGCGACCAGCGAGTACAGTAATTGACGATCGCGAAGTGCACGAAGATAAGACCGATTCCTAAATCCATTTTACGCCAGAAATGTATCTCGCCTCTACACCATGTGTGCATGTTGTAGTACAACAGTACAACAGTTGTACCATTACATGACGTAGAGGTCTACTGGTAAACAGAAGTTAGCCGAACAGTCGCCAATTCGGAGCACCACCTCCCAACCTGACATCCCCCATCCTTCTCGGGTTCGACTGAGCCCCGTCCTTCGCCCGCTCACAGCTGAGACTATCGGACACCCGGACTCATAAACACTTACCTGGTTGATGATGAACGTGTGTCCGTCCCAGGAGGTGACGATCAGCTCGTCGTTGCCGTCGGACGTCACGTCCAGCTTGGTCAGACAAAACAACTGGTGGTGCAGCGGCATCGACCTGGCGAAAGGGGACGGTCAGGGTCGTTAGGGTTGACGCCGGATTTCGTGACATGGTTTGCATTGTTGCTACATCACTGGCATAATCAATATGGTGACAACACTTAACTTACGTCGGGTCATAGAGGTGGCGTAGGTGCCGTAAGAGCTACTCTATTACTACTAGACTACTGATATAAAGTAGCCAATGCTAGGTTGTAGGCATATGTAACAATGGTTATAACACATACCCATTACCCACTGTATAAATCGACATGAGACTATGCTGGCAGGGACGATGACAGCACTGTCCATCAAAACCAACATCTCTCTCACCAGCAGAGCTCGTTGTCCTTGACGTAGAAGAGGCTGCCGTCCAGAGTGATCATGGCGTAGGTGTTGGAGGCGGCCTCCCTCAGACCTCCCAGCACCTCGCACGAGACGTTGTGGCGCGCCTTCACAGCGCGGCTGACGTCGTCTATCTCCACACTGTGACATTCCCTGCGGGGGAGGGGGATGACGTCACCATACTGCACCCTGATATACATACACTGTCGGAAAGTGACGTGATCAATCTCCACACTTCGACCTTCACTGCGAAGTGACGTAATCAATTCCATACACTGACATTCCCTGTGGGAGACAGTGACGTCATCAATCTCAACACTGTCACATTCCCTGCGGGAGAGTGACACAATTAGCACAGCCGCTACATCCAGTGCAGAAGGGCGACGTGTACACGAACTGTGTCCGATTTCATTGAAGTAAACTCAACATCAGCAATGATAGTTCAAAAGCTCAACAGTGGCAATGCTTCGACTACCACCGAAACCCGCAAACTTCGCCGGAGTCCCGGCCGCGTCTCGTGTACGTACCGCCCGTCCTCGGCCGTGGAGGAGCGGTACCGCAGGCGGACCACGGCCGCTCCCGGCTGGGAGACGAGCACCGACGGCCACCCGTCCTCCTCCACATTCAGCGAGATGTTACCGATCTGAGGGGAGCATTGGGGGAATGTCACCGATCTGACGGGAGAACGGGTGAGGTGTTACCGATCTAAAGGGGCAACAGCGGAAATGTTACCGATCTGACGGGAAGGACGGGCGAAATGTTACCGGTCTTACGGGGACATGTTACGGGAGAAAGAGGGGAGTGTTACCGGACGGATGGAAACGGCAGAGATGTCACCGATTTGACAGTATAAAGGGGAAACATTATGAGACATAGACATCAAAGTAAGAGAATGAGAAAAACTACAATGCATAAAAACAACCTATGAATGAATGACTGTGTAAATCAAATAATAGGTTGAGTGTTGTAAGATGACGGCGAGGTCAGCAGCTGACAATTCATTTTGACTCAATAAATCGTTCATAATACTAGGCAGAAAGCAGACATTTCCAGTCCAGTGTTTCGTGTGACGTAGAGCCATTGCCCTCGCATATATCGGCACATATCGCATCCTCCGCCGCAGCATAGTACGGACCAACGGCGCTGTTTGAGCATCTGCCGGCATACCACTGCGCTGGAATTACCACTGCGGGTAACTGCACCGATCACCCACCTGCTGCATGAGCTCGCACTTGCTGATGGCTCGGAGGGCGTCCTCCTGCCAGCGGTAGACGCGCACCACGCGGTCCGTGAGGGCCACGACTAACTCCACCCGGCCGTCCCGGTCCACGTCCGACAGCACCGCCGTCTGGCGGGCACAGGACGAAACTAATGTTAGTCAAGCGCCGGTAGATGTCGGGCAGGCCCTAACACGTACCCAAGCCGAAATGGTAGCATTAGTCGGTCCATTTATAAGATAAACAGTAAGTGGTGAGCACACACAGAAATACGGTTACATTGTGCTGCATCAAAGGATGACACACCCGGTCTCATGCAACTCTCCCTGTTCGTCTCCAGCCATGAGCACTATTTGGTGAATAAACGAGAAAACGACATTGCAGGAAAAATCGAAAATACAGAGTAGCTAACACCTCCGTTCCGTCGTTTCCATCCTCAGGATACTGAAATCCTTCTCATCCACGCCGCAACCCCCACTCCGGGCTGGACAGTGGACAGGCACCTTTCTCTCATGCGGGCTGCTCCCTTGGAGCGGCACCGCTGCTCCCGAGGGAGCGCACCCCGTAGCCGGGTGCAGAGTGCTTGGGGGGCTGGTCGGCCTGTCCATTCGGACGGACTCAGCCCCGGTGACTCTCTAGGGTGTCTGCCCAGACCAATGTCTCCCCTAATTCCAATCATCCCCAACAAAACAAACAAGCAAACAAAACAAACAAGCAAACAAAAACAGACAAAGTAGCCAACATCAGCTACACTTAATGGCACAGGTCGCTGAGATATGAGAAATAATGTTACATTAAATTATGATTTGTGTGTAACGAAACATGCGAGTTGTATCGTGGTGGCTGCTGTGGTCACACCCCGCTCTATAGCCTGGAGCCGCCGCTGAGCCGGCGCCGGTATCAAATGCAGTCTGGGCCGTGGCCGCCCGGGCCACCGCCGCTCCGCTCGCTGAATACAGTTCTCGGCTGGTACTGGTGGCGTCTGCACCCTGGGGTTCATCAAGCCATAAGCAAGCACAAAAACACGAGTAATGACCAATCTCGCCCATCCCGGCTACCATTGACGCCCCCGTGCGCACCTTTACATTGGCGGGTATCCTCTGGTCGCGGCGCTGTCGGATTCCCGTCTCGTCCACCTCAAACATGTGGATCCAGCCGTTCCCGCTGATCGCCGCCAGAGTGTTGCGGTCGGGGCTGATGAGCGGTCCGCAGCAGACGGCCGACACGAGGCCCAGGTCCGAGACGTGGCACAGCGGCTGCGTCTGATGGAACAGGGGGGGGGGGTGTCACAACAGACGGCCGACACGAAGCCCAGGTCCGAGACGTGGCAAAGAGGCTGTCATGAAGCGTCAGGTCAGGACGAACGACGTAAGGGACGATGAACGAAGGAAGGGCGATTAGTACATGCAAACACGACGATTCTTTTATCATGATTGCGGTATACAGACAACATGTGATCTCTTGTTTCAGAGTCAACGCACTGTAAAAGCCTGAGCAATACGAGATGCAATACATGCGTGACAGCGTAGCAACGCATTGATCAGAAGGAAATGACTGATAAAATTCGAGTGACTCGGTAACGAGACTCGGATCGGCTCGGCCGCCTCACTCACCTGGAGTCCTTTGAAGATGTAGAGCTCGCCGGTCTCTGTGCCGACCACCAGCTCGTTCTCGCCGTCGTTATCGACGTCGGCCAGCGTCAGCGCCGACGGCGACACGCCGCCGTGCACCTCCAGGTCCACGTGACCGACGAACGACACCGTCCGCATTGTGGGGCGTGCGCTCACAGAGTCACACTCACAAACAGGCCGCTACTCGGCGAATGGCCACGTGATAGATCACAAGCACAAGTCTTTGTCAGTTTTTGATCAGCAGCTCCGCTAATAACAGCCGGTGTCGGCAGGCTCCGCAGCTGACCAGCCGGTGTCGGTCGCCCAGCCGGTGTCGGCGGCTCAGCGACTGGCCGGGGTCCAGTTGAGCGGCCGCCGGTCCTCGGGCAGCTCGGGCTCCAGGCGGCGCCACCGGCTCGGCGGCCAGACCACGTGCGAGGCGCGCGCCGTCACCAGGCCCACGGCCACCGGGCCGAGCAGGTTCGAGTCGAGCGAGTGGCCGCGGTTGTCGCCCTCCAGCCAGCAGTGGCCGTCCGGCACGCGCACCACTGTCTGTCGGTAGCCGAGCGTGCGCACCAGGTCCCCCTCCAGCCCCACCACACGCTTGATCAGCTTCTGGTCAGGCTCCTTGGGCGAGCTGAGTGAGACGATGGCGCCTGGAGCCAGCTGGAAGTTACGAATCGACCAACGATTCAGGAAAACGTAGTCGCCAAAGTCGCCATTGGGATTCAGAGCAGGCTGCATAGAAGAACCCTCAACCTGTCAAAATATGTGCAGTTAATTCAATTTTCTGCTCACAACTCAAAATATGATGCATTACATGTCACCTAATTTTCCATTACAGTTGAAAGAAAATACATGTGTATGATTTATGGTTAAACGAAACCTGCGAAAGTGAATCTAATTATGGGTGCTAAAAATCTTAAATTAATTTATTTGCTTCTTTTAGCTGTTGAGGCAGAATGATACTAATACAAGCACCTATTGATCAAGAAAAGGTCGCTGGCAAGTGGCAAAAAACTTAAGTTAGACCCTTGGACCAGCAAGCCTAAAAAAATATATGTTCTTTTCCTTCAGCAACAAACTAACCTTGGCCACATATCCGAAGACGTCAACAAAGGTTATCCCAACGGGGATGCTAAGGGCTACAGTTCGAAAAAGAGACCCAAGACGTGGCATTTGAGATCTCCAATTTTTCGATGAGATGAATCAGAAACAATGCGATGGAATAGAAACAACAACATACAAAAGCATATTGATATAGATATGAAAAACACCACAAAACAATTTAGCAGCACACACAGCCTACGGCATTCGGCATTCATCTCAAGTTCGTCGTTTTTATAGTGAGCTGTTGCTACCAAATCGCAGGAAAAAGTAGTGAAAATTTCACCGAACTCAAAGGTTTCTCTTTGCTCGAGTCCAAGATTCCTGTGTTTTATGAAGCACTGATTCATTGAAATAATCTGATTCATGCATGAAATGCATGTAGAAAAGAGTTCGGAACATATTTTTATACCTTCTACATGAGAGTGCACCATAGCTCACACCAATCTTTACTTGCAACGTATCTAGCGGTATGAAAAGTGCACCATGCGTATAACGCATTGCAATATTTCCTGTAATACCTAATGGTCCTTCATGGTGGCCCGAGGGAATAGTGTCTACATTTTTACTTTTTAGGCCAGATATTAAATGTTACACGTCTACTGCAATGCCATATATAGGTTCTACTGTATTGCGTGGAATGAATGGAACACCAAACCACCAATCTCGGCAATGGCGCCTCTTCAAAGTTCTATCTTCTCACATAGGTACACAAGGCTAGGCGAGATTTATAGCCCCTATTTCGCTAAAACAGCCCACGAGCAACCCACGACTTGATACGCTCCACATTTTTTGCCTACTGTTCTATTTTGCTGCGGAAAAGCGGAACACCAATTTGCGCGGGCGCCCGACCGCATAACCCGATGTCTCAGCTCAAAGATGCATGCCTGCATGAGTTATGAGCGACCTAACCCAGGGATTTCAGCTTGCTTGTAAGCAGAAAGGTTGAGCCGTAACATCCTGATCTAAATGTCTCCTACGTCCCCTGTTCAGCTTTGAGCTCATGACGGCAAGAGCTCAAAATAACTCGACTAAAGCAATCGCTAAGTGCGTGCGTCTTTCCAACCGTGCCAGACCACCCACAAGTGTGAACAGTGAACCGTCGGGTGTTGGAAGACGTCTGTCGACAAAGCATCGTATCCAGTCCATATATAGGTATGTATTAGCAGTTCGACGTGACAAAACAATACGCAACCAGCTACTGCGTCGATAAAAGACAGCGGCCGAACCGCCGCACCCCATCGCCACAGCGCGTGCTCAGTCGACACGGGAGTCCCGCGCCCGAACACCGCCCACAGGATAGCCAAAACCAGGCGCGCGCGTCTCACCCCCGCCGCCGCTGCAGCAGCACGTGTCCGCGGGCGGCGCGACTAATCTTCGTCCTCGTCGCCGCCCTCGTCACTGTCATCCTCGTCGTCATCCGTCTCGAACGTGTCGTCGGGAATGTCGTACAGGATGATCATCTGCTTGTTGGGGTCCTTCATGATGAGGTACTTGCCGGCGTCGCGGCCGCGGATGATGTCCACGATGCAGCGCAGGATGCCCCACGCGTTGTCCATCGACAGGTTGATTTGCGATGCGAACTCGCTCGGCTTGAACTGCATCACGTTGAGGATCACGTGCTTGCTCGAGTCCCGGGGCGCCACGCGCGACACGAAGCCGAACTTGATGATGTCTGATCCGGCGAGCAGCGCCTGCACGGTCCACTTGGCCATCTTGCAGTTGTTGTTTTTCAGCTCGTTGGCGAGCACGGCGGCGCGCTGCGTGTCCAGCTTCTGGCGCCAGTCGACGTTGTTGGCGTGCTTGGGGTCCCACTCGTTGAGCGCGCGGATGGTCATGAACTGGTCGGTGCCGAGTACGGCGGCGTCGTGCTCGGTGCGCACCACCAGCTGCACGTCGTCGCCCAGAGAGAACTGCCGGTACCGGTAGGCCACGGAGGCCACAGACTCCGGGTCGTCGTCCTCCTCGATGAACGGGTTCGGGTTCTCGAACTCGTAGCGCTTGTAGTCGTTCAGCAGCACCTGCACAGCGAGAACAGAGTAGGTGGACGTTAAAAATGGGAGGGGCGGGTCAAGTAGTATGGGACACGCACTTCCGATACAAATTATGGGATGAAAAACAACACAACACGCGATAAAACCTTAAGTATAAAATCAAGGTGTTCTCCCCATTTGAATGTCAACATCTAAGTCAAGCTGTTATTAATGACACTTATGATACTTATGCTATGAATGATGCTTTCATCAGCAGTGCTCTACAAATTTCTGTACGGGCATGACAAATAATCTAACACCAGCCTCAGTGCCGACCAGGCCACCGAGTTCGTTCTTGTAACGGCCAACGGCAGCCTCACCTGTTCGGGGAAGTTGTGATTGATGAAGGTGGCCTCCATGGCCAGGTTGCGCGGCGAGTTGATGGACGGGCCCTCGTCGCTGGGCGGGTCGCGCGCCGTCTCCGACACCGTCACCAGGTCAAACTCGCTCTCGTCGCGCTTGTCGAAGAAGATGAGGTTGCCGATCTTCTGGACGACGATGTCCCAGGAGTAGTTGCTGCGCGTGCAGCACATGAGCGTGGCCAGAATCTCGTCGGTGGCGAACACGTTGCCGCCCGACTTGGCCAGTTTGCGGATCTCCGGGTCGTCGGTGGTGGTGACCTTGTGGTGGATGCGGTCGATGCGCTCCAGCCGCTCCGGCTTCTTCACGTTGATGCGATCGACGGCCTTGTTGTAGTACTTGACGGCGCCGCACTTGAGCAGGTCCTTGGGCTCGCCGACGCTGGGCAGCGCCAGCTTCTGCAGCCGCGGGAAGTCCATCTCCTCGATGACCACCCAGTCGGGCCGCACCGTCACCGACGCGTCGCGGTTCTTCATCTGGAAGCGGTTGTAGTCGAAGCGCTGCCGGTTGCCGAACTGTTTCTGCAGCCGGCGCACCTGGCGCTGCCGGTTGGCGTCGCGCGTCTTCTCGCCCTTGGTCATGACGCGCGTGTCAGCCTGATTGCCGCGCTGCTGGTTCTGCATCTGCCGCTGGCGGAAGTTGCGCTGGTAGCGGCCGCGGAACATGGGCTTCGGCACCTTGGGCTGCACCACCAGCTTGAAGCTGTCCTCGTCCTCCTCGTGCATGTAGGCGTACTGGCTGCCGCCGCCGAACTGCGAGTTGTACTTGTTGCCGTAGCGGCGGTCCTGGAAGGCGCCCTCGCGCGCTGACAGCTCCGCCACCTTACCGATCCGATCGCCCTTCGAGAACGGCTGGTACGGCATATCAGAGAACTTGTCCACCGTGCCGGCTGGGCCCCAGCCCGTCTCGTTAATCTGAACTCTGGGCGGCACAAACTTGGCCATTGTGGGCTGCTGTGTGGCACCAGATCAGGCTGGAAGATAAATTTAGCCATCAAAATGGGATTTATCTTTGTATATTGATCAACACAGCAATCAAAGCACCGTATTTGCACAGCAGTCTGTAATCAAGACCACAAAGAGACAAGTTTATCATGGGTGGATTCCCCTATCATGTTATCAAAGATGAGAAACATGAAATTCCTTTCTTAGTTAAGGCAAGAAAAACAATACATGGGTCAAAGATGTGTGCTTTACAACTTTCAAGTTTAATTACAGGATGCCTTAAAAGCAGTAGCACAGCATCTGAGTGTCTCTGAGGTAGTCTTTGACAAATCAATGATTGAAGATGTTTGGGTTGGATTGAAGCTACAAGGAACAGATCAATTGTTGATAGGCTGCATCTACCGAAGCCCGTCTGGATCCCAAGAAGAAAGCATTGAAAAGCTGGAGCAGCTGATTCACCAAGCAGCTGTAGCCCCCTTCTCACACCTTGTCATCGTTGGCGACTTCAATCTTCCTGGCATTGACTGGGACACTGGTGCATCTACTTCAGCCACGCACTCCTTTGTAGAGACGATCCAGGATTGTTACCTGTTCCAACATGTTACCCAGCCCACACGTTACAGGCTTGGAGAGAGGCCAAGTACTCTGGACTTAGTCTTTACCAATGAGGAGGGTATGGTTCGCAACCTTGAGTATGGCCCTGCCCTGGGTAGAAGTGATCATGTAATCCTTACCTTCACATTGATGTGCTACGCACCTGCGCCATCCTCGCTGCCACGCATGTATTCTCGCACCAACTATCGTTCACTGAGTAATGCGCTTGAATCGTGCAACTGGGCGGTGATGAGGAACATGACTACTCATGAAGCTCACACCTTCTTTAGTTCGTCAATCTGTGCAGCCATTGAGTCATGCTCCAGCATCAGAAAGAAGGCCTCTGAACACAACATATACATGAATCGCCATGCCCTCCAACTGAGGAAAAGGAAAAGGCTATTGTGGAGCACTTACTGCCGAAGCCACGATGAACTCGATCACGCCAGGTACGTCAGGTGTCGTAACGACCTGAGGAACATGACCAGAGCCCTCCGGAGACAACATGAGCAAAAGCTGGTACTGTCAATCAAAGATAACCCGAAGTGCTTCTGGCGGTACGCAAATTCACACCTCAAGACCAAAAACGGCATCGGCGACCTAGAAGACGAGAATGGAGAAACGGTGTCTTCTGACAAGGCAAAAGCTAACGCCATGAACAGATACTTCAGTAGCGTCTTCGTCAAAGAAGCGTCAGACACCATCCCTGTCCTGGAGCGCCCTCATCACGGACCGCTTCTGGAGGACGTCGAAATCTCCCCGCTACGGGTACACACCAAGCTGGCAGCGCTGCGAGCACACAGCTCACCAGGACCCGATGGCCTTCACCCTCGCGTACTGAAGGAGAATGCAGCCGTCCTCTCCCACCCACTGAGCTGGATCTTCAGGAAATCGCTGGACTCCGGGGATGTCCCCCCAGAGTGGAAGATCGGCAACGTGACTCCGATATTCAAGAAAGGAGATCGCCGCCTGCCATCCAGCTACAGACCGGTCAGCCTGACATCCGTCTGTTGTAAGGTCCTCGAATCTGTCATCAGGGATGAGCTCCTGCACCATATGTCAGCAAACGGCCTGCTTCACAGATCTCAGCATGGTTTCTTGGCGAAGCGTTCGTGTAGCTCCCAATTGCTTGAGGCACTCGAAGACTGGACCGCTGCCTTGGAAGACCGAACCCCGGTGGATGTGGTCTACCTAGATTTCGCTAAAGCTTTTGACTCGGTGCCGCACAAACGTCTCCTCGAGAAGCTGAGGTCGTATGGTGTCGGAGGTAAACTTCTCACCTGGATACAGGCCTTCCTAGTTGGCCGTCGCCAACGGGTGCTGATTCAGGGCTGCACCTCGGAGTGGGCACCAGTCTCCAGCGGTATCCCCCAAGGTTCAGTGTTGGGACCGACGCTGTTCACAATATACGTCAACGACATGCCACTAGAAGTCTCAAGCAATATGAAGATGTTCGCGGATGACACGAAGCTATATAAGCCACTGACAAATCCATCCGAACGTGGTGCTGGTCTGCAGGGTGATCTGGACGCTCTGGCACGATGGTCCTCAAGGTGGCTGCTGCCGTTCAACGCAGGAAAGTGTAAGGTGATGCACATGGGCTCAAGAAACCCTGCACACGAATACCGGCTAAACGGGACGCCCATCGCCGTGGTAGACGAAGAAAGGGATCTGGGGATCATAATCGACTCTGAGCTGAAGTTTCACTCCCAAACGGCCGCGGCCGTTTCAAAAGCCTCGCAGCTGCTCGCGGTCATCAAGCGATCCTTCGCTCACATCGATGAGACGACCCTACCCTTGCTCTACAAGGCTCTCGTCCGCCCCTTTCTGGAGTTTGGGAACGCCGTCTGGGGACCATTCAGCAAAGGAGACCAGAAACGCTTAGAAAAGGTCCAGAGACGCGCCACGCGTATGGTGGAATCCATCAAGCACCTTCCCTACCCCGAGCGTCTGAAGCGTCTCAGACTACCGTCGTTGCTCTACCGCCGCCGCAGGGGAGACATGCTGACGGTCTACCAGCTGTTCCACGGTGGAATCGATGTGCCGCCAACGACCTTCTTCACCAAGAACGAGACCGAGCTGACGAGAGGACACGGATGGAAGCTGATCAAACCCCGAGCTGCGACTCTCGCCCGACGACGCAGCTTCAGCGTCCGCATCATCAACGACTGGAACGCTCTACCTGCTGAGGTCGTATCGGCCGAAACACTCTCGACATTCAAGGCACGACTTGACCATCACTGGACCCACCTAATGTATGTCATGCCACAACCTTACGAGTCCTGAATGTCTCCCCAAGTAACTCGGTGAGAACGGGACCTATAGGCCAAGTGGCCTTTTCTATCCCGATGACCTTCAAGGTAAGGTAAGGTAAGTTTCATTGAATCATGCCATACCCGATGGTAATCCCAACTACCGCAGCCCAGGGGAGGCATTTTTCGCCTGCATTGCTTCTCTTACTAAAAATGTCTGAGCATGAGTGCTCTAGAGGTCACAGGCATGGCATATGGATATCTTTTGTCTACATATATAATGCAGCCAGTTTTGATACTAGCCCTTTATGATTATGATTATGATTGAAGCCCTTTATGAATGTTCAGAGGGAAAATTGAAGCCAAATTCAAGATGAGAAGCTGCAAATACATAAAAAGACCTAGTATGTGTCATGATCATTTACAGGTCATTTGGGGTCAGATGAGGATGGACAATGCTGAAGACAGGGTGCCTAGGGTGATTTGCTCAAGGCTCTTGATATTCACTCGCACAAACCACGTGACAACCAGCGTGTAGAAGGCGTAGAGAGGGGGAGAACTTCTTAATAGCAACGTGACCAAATGTGCCCTCCGGCGCCCTGTTTTCCCAAATGTCCATGAGGACAAGGTCAACATCAAAGCTGCCCTTTTCCCTAGAAAATGTATCTCATTTGATGCATCTTGACATGGTAAATGGGACCCTGACATGTTGATACCACACTATCTTCACCTGTGACTGTTTACATGGAAATGTTATGCCCACTTTTGACAGCCCGTTTACCAACCATATGGAACCCGCTGAAATCAATGGGCAAGTGGGAAAGATATAGTCAATGAAATCTAAGAATGATGAAAATATACTTAAATTAAAGGATTTGAGCTACATCATAAGTTATTTACGTAAACACAGCAAACCTATGCATATGAAATCAATATGGCTTTGGAAATTAAATTAAGCAAAAATCGAAGTGACCAGTTCATCCGGTTCACTTCAAGGCGACACACATCAACGCACTTCGGTACTCAGCCAAAACGTGGAGATAACAGAAATTGAAATTAATTTTCATGAAAGCTTACCGAACTAATTCTGGAAAACCTCCAATAAATCAAATAAGTTAAAAAACTAGTAAAAGTCTCTCACGCGGCGGGGCACGAGGAAATAAACGCCACATTTGTCGACAAGGTATAGAGCTGTAATGGAGTTCAAGGTGGTCCACTATTTTTTGTTTTCTATCTTCAGATTTTGCGCAAAACCATGCATTCAAAATCTTTGAGTAGGTGAAAAATATTTTGCTTCATAATTTTAGCATGGAAACATCTAAAAAGCAGTACTGTCGGGAACTGAGCTGCTTATTTTTGATGTAGCTGCTCATTATGCTGTTTGTAACCAGCTGTGAACAGGTTTATCTGTCTCAGTTGCGCCAAATGTGCTTGTATATTCGTTTCGCAATGCAAATAGCAAATAGCCATTGGAATGCGGAACCTTTGTTGACCGCAGTTGACCTGAGATTGACCCGAGCGGCCGTTGCCTTGGTAAATGACAGATATTGAGTGATTTTCACAATAAAATAGTGATCCCGCAGATTTGGACATTTTATTTTTGATGTGAGTTTCCTTGTTTTTTTTTAACAGCTAGGTACGTTGATGTGTCAGTGTGGATTGTCATTGTGGATGGCAGAGCATCTGATCCTCCAATGGGAAACCCAGGCTTAGTCATTTTACTTCAGACTGGGTATCAATCTATTTTGTGTCTAGGCAAGGTAAAAGTACCTAAATGAATGAACAGCTTGTGGGCTGTGATGTGGTGACAAGTCTGCATGCTATTTTCTCATTTCAGTTTGATTATGACTCAATTTCAGGAATGGGTGGAAGATTGTGCCGAACTGGAGGCGCCCAGGTGCAGCAAATTTAACTCTTCCAACACCCTAACAGTGACCTTGACCTCTATCCTTTGTTGCGGCTCCAAAGCTAAGCCATCGTGTAATTGGGAGATTTTGGGCATGCCCAGTTTAGTGGACTTCCACTGCCATAGAAATTACTAAGTTAAAGTAGTTTTCCTGTGCTAGGAGAGATCAAAATTACAGAGCAACATCACATTCAGATCAAACATTAATTGTGATTTCAAACCTTTCAAATAAGAAGTGTGATATTTTCATAAGTGCCGTGAAAATTGCTAATCTTATTCTTGTGCTATGTTCGTAATTTATAACAATTGGAATTTTTATGTTGTTTTTTTCCTGAAAGGACATAACCAGACCCATGATCCAGATCTAGGACTCTTTTGTGGGCCATAACAGAAAATCTTACTGACATCTTGCATCCTGTATCAATATGTTGTAGCTTGTAGGCTTTGCTGCATATGGCCATTGGCACTGATGGCCAAGTTGATATCTCTGTACTTATTAAACAGATAACATTGCAGTTGCATTTGTTGTGATCCTGTATCTTTGCAAGCATACATGGTCCATATTACCAGCTTTCTGAAGGATTGCTGGTCTGGTGACCATTGAACCAATGACCAGTGAATTTAATAGCCAATGAATATGTTTCCTTTTAATGCCTCAGATCAATCATGGTTGGCATGTCAACTAAACATTGCCTTATTAGCTTTTTGTGTCCTCACCTCTTCTTAGAATGCTCATATGCTCTCTAAATGAGCAATTAAATCAATAAGCAACTGGCTGTGCTGACTGCTGAGTGATGCTACTTTTAGTGTGTGTCTTTCAGTGAGTTGCTTTTCATCATCCAGTGCTTTGTGTTGACAGTACAAGATAATAGTACACATTAACTTTATTCTTACTCTGGCTTTTGTACGTTATATTGTAGTGGGTAGGTACTTCATATGAACTTAACCAAAGATATTATTGGCTTGCTTGCATAGTTGGTACCTATGTGCTCCATGCCGCCCTCCTATGCTATTTCCATAATATCTGTATCTTTTTCTGCTAATATGTGCCTAGTGTAGATATAATTAGTCTTATTAAACCTGTTATTTATGGACTCATACAGCATAGTGGGTCAACCCATGTGGTGTGGTAATTGGTATTTATTTTTGAAGAAGGCACACTAAGAAGCACATGCTCCTGAGATAATATCATTTGAACATGCCTGTGCGTCTGTTTACAGATAGCACCCCTGCCTGGTGGTGAACCACTCTTTATTGTGGTAGCCCTGCTACTCCAGAAGGGGCCAAACTGAATCCCACAACCAGCCAGGACGAGCTTCCCGGCCTAGGTAAGTCATATGTCAAACTTTGCACCCTTTACCATGCCCTTTCAACCTTTGGAAGTAGGTAGTGGCTGTTGCTTGTTCAATGCCTTACACCGATAAGTGATAAGGCACTTCATTCGTCAGTTATGACTGTAATGGTTTTCACCCCTTAGGTTAAGCACATTTTGCCATCAATCGGCCGCATAGCACTGTCGATGGAAATCGTGTAACATTTATTCACCATTCGCGTCGTATTTTAATAAGAGAGTTTTTGATTGTTCAATTTAGCAGCTGACGCTCCCCGATCGCGCTGGGTGCCCCGAATGTGGCCAGTGGCCACCCTGGGCCCTGCCACAGCCAGCCGCGGCGGCTCGCGCCTGTCTGGATGCGGGATAAGACGCTCCCAAGGCCGGGACGCGGCCGCCACCCGCGGTAAAAGTTTCCTCTCCCCAGCGGCAGGAAAGCACGAACGCGCCGGTTGCATGGCAACGGTACCGTTGTGTGTCATGCGGCCGGCTCACGCCCCGACGTTCGCGGAAGCGAATTATTCGCGGCAGTACGTGCCGTGAGCGAATTTGGCTTATCGAATAAGACGTGGTCCATTGGGCCCGGCGAGGCCAGCCTGTCGGCCCGTCGTTGGGGGACACTTGCCGACTCGATCGATATGACTGGCACATTTGGATCGAGTTACGAGGACGGCCGGCCGCTCGCTTGGTCGAAGGGGATGGTAAGGGGGGGGGGGGGGGGGAGAGGAGTCCCTAGTAACGTGCGGACAACCAGCAGATATATTATCCATATCAATTGCTTTGATCGAGGGCTCAAAATATGCCATCAGCTACCTACATGGAACTACTATGTGTGATGTTTTCTCACTGACTCGGCCCTGGTGTTTTAGCCCAGTTCCGTGGCAGCAGGCTGGCGGCTGCCATCCTGTCCGCACCAGTTTCGGCGGTGTCACCTGTGGTGACCCGGTGGCCGTCGTCGTCTGACCCGACCGGGCACACCTGGCCAGGCCGCCGGCAGCGGTAGCAGCGGGCGGTGCTCCGTCCAGGTGGGCCGCCGAGGGAATGCGACTGCCGTCCGGAGGCGGTGGACGCTATCGCCGGCCGGCCGGTATCGGCGGCAGATTGCCGGTATCAGGCGGGCGGGCCGCGCGGCCGGGGCGGGGCGCCGCCAGTGGCCGGCCGGCCGCGCCCCGCGCCGCGCCATGGAGCTGCTCGGCTCGCTGCGCCGCCGGCGCCGCCTGCCCGAGTCGCCCTCCTGGTGGCGCTCGTGCAGCACGTTCTTCACACGGGAGCCGCTCGACGCCGACCAGCTGGAGGAAGGTAGGCGCGCGCCTCGTGCGCGGCCTGCGCTGTGCCGCGGACGCTGCTGCCGCTCCGCTGCTGGGTGGGTCGTCCGGGGTGTTCTGTCGGCAGGGATTGGTGCCGGGTCGGCCCGCTGCTGGTGGGGTGTCCGTGCTGACAGCGGAGGCTGAGCGGGGTCGTCTGCGTCCAGTCCTTTGTGTCGGTTCGTCTATTTCTGTCCGCCTCGGGCTGCTTGAGTGGCGTGTCTGGTCGTCCGCCTCTGACCGGCTTCTGTGCTGTGTTTGTCGGGTCCTGCAGCTGGGGTTCGACCCCCCGCCGGCGCAGCAGAGGCTCGCTTCTGTCGACCCCTGCCGGCAGCCGGGGCCCGCGGCTGTTCCACCAGGCGGCGCTGGACGGCTGTCCATGACCCGGAGAGGCTCGGAGAGGGCGCCACCGGGTCTGGACCGCCGCCGCCGCCGCCGCCGCAGGGGCTCGCTGTTGCCAGGCAGCACTGCGTGTGTGTATATATCCGTGTATGGTCCGAGCGGCGTGACTGGCGAGGTCGCTCGTCGAATGGCCTACTTGTGGGGAACCTCGCGTGCCACCCGTTCCCGTCACTGAATGAGGACTGGAGCTGAGGATAACAGCTTTATGATTATATTCCAGCCCATACGGCTATCAGTGTACTGAGAATCAGTACAGAATCTGAAATTTACCAGTCCTGCCGTATTGATAAACGTTGATGTGGCGGTTAGTGGTGACATATTATCTGGAGATGTGTGGTTTTGATCTCCTCTGTGGCACGCAGCGTTTGTATGCCTTTGTACGCGCCAAGCCTCGGTACACAGCTCAGGTGCCATTTCTTGTGACCGTCGCCCGCGCTATCGGCCCGGCGAGCCTTGGTCGTTTGTCGCCTCAAGCCGCGCCGATAGTGTTCACAAAGCTCCCGGCTCAGGCTGTGTTGGCAGTAGCGTAGCGTGGCGCTATGGCTGGGGCAGCGTCGTGTCCTCCTGACTGTCAGCTTCTCTGCTACACTAGCTAGTGGCGGATGGAAGATGGGAAGGTAGCGGTAGCTGGTCCAGTGATCATGGATAGCTCCCAGGCAGGCTCACTATACCCAGGCGCTGATCGCTGACCGCTGATCGTTGACCGCTGATCGCTGATCGTTGATCGCTGATCGCTGACGGCTGGCCGCTGAGTGGACCGGGTACCACGCCGCCCCGGTCGGGTCGGCTCTGTTTACAGTGGAGCTGCCTCGCGTTTGAAACCGACCCGTTCCCGGTACCGAGTGGCTGGCCGGTTGGCCGCCAGCCCTGCGATCGTTTGAACATGACTGATAGGCGGGCTGACTGAGGCGATATCAGGGACACCGGCGCTAACGCCGCGATAATCGCCACGAGCGCCCTGAGAAACACCGATCAGTTACCTCAATCTGGGTGATATTGTATCTGCTTATGTGAAGCATTGAGTAGTTGATGAGACAAAGTACATCGATTATCGGAATGTGAAAAGAACTCGCCCTTCACAAAGCAGTATTAATGTGTGTGATGCGTCGTACTTACGTCTTACCATATCGCCACGACATGGATTTGTAAGCCGTTGATCGACACGATGAGAGCATATTTTCGCCGAAGCTGGTCGAGCCCGTGCCTTCCTGGTGTTGCCGTATCGCTGCTGCCGCGGACATCGGCGCGTTGCGTCACGTTTCAGGAAGCGGAGATCCGTGACATACATTCCGTGACGCCTTTCTGGCCCGTCATACCGGAGAGGAATTGTGGCACCGTTCATCTGTCACGGTGACCGTCCAGACTGGAGTGGCGGACGGTACATATCCCCTCTCGGAGAGCAGCCGTCGCCTCTGCGCCGGGTTATGAATATTAACTCAGTTGGTGGAGCGTTCGGACGGTGCGGAATCCTAACTGTATGTGGTGTTTGCGCCCGGGACAGCATTTGGTGCTAATCAGCTAATCCTGCTTTGCCATTATCTGGGAGGCTACAGGCAAGGACGGGGCGGGACTGGCTCACAAGGTCCTAAACCGGCGCATCCAAACTAAGCCCCAATCATCATCAATTGTGCGGTGAAGGCATCGTATAAGCGACTGTACGGCGGCAAAATGAACCGTTCTGTCAGCGCGACCCAGAAAACAGGGCCCAGAAGGCGACTGAAATTCATCGCTGGAAGTCGGCGTTAAAAATTCAGGACCTGACAGGTCAAGGTACCGTTGTTCGGTAGAAAACCAGCGATGATTGATAGTAGAGAAGCGTTAGACGATGATCATTGGAGGGTGATGTCACGCCGGGGGATGTCGCGGAACCTTGAAGAGGTGTCGCGGAACGCCATCCTGGCCGGGAAGTCCGAAGTAGCACGATATCACCTCAGCGAGAGGCCGTGACTTGCTATGGATATGTTTGATTTCACCCGAGAGCGGGGAACTATTTGTTCTGTAAACGAAACGAAGCGGGCCAGGCGCTCGCCTGTTGTTGAAGTCCTCAGGCTGAGCGGCGGCCTCTGGGAGTGGCGGACGAGTGTGGACTGAAGGTTCTCTCGACTTGTTGACATGTCCTCCTGCCGTGATGGAGGCGAGAGGACGTCAGTGCGAGAATAATTACTGGTACTTCCCCTGTGCCCCGATATTTTCACTAAAACGAAAGGGCAGAGATTAGCAGGTCTCGGGATGGGTCGATGGGGAGTCCCCGATGGGAGTGAGGACACCTGGTATTTTTTTTTTTTTTTGTTCTGCGTACGCTGGGATAGGGTGGCGGTACCGCACCTGATTACTCCACAGTTCTCGCACATGATCGCGTGATTCACATGATGCATACGGCCTGAGCCTTATGCCGGTATAGTATATATGCAATTCCATATCGTATATGCCTTACACCGATCCTGACCCGGCCGCCGGCTCAGGTAAATCCGGCCAAAACACCAGTCTGAACCTGACCCGCTGTTTTCGCCCAATCCGAGCTGTGCCCGGTGGGACAGCTCCCGTTGCCGGCTTGCACAACATGTACTGGCGCCGTATTGTACTACACGCCCTGATGTCAGAGCCACTGTATGCAGTTACACCTGAGTGACAGACCGTCTATTGTCGCACAATGGACGCCGGCTAAGGCATCAATGGCGGCCGGCGGCCGTGTGGTCGGCCTCTGTGACTCACGGCCGGCTCGGGTGTGTGTGTACGCTGCAGCGCTTTGTGGGCTAATTGCAGCGGGCAGGCCGTGCCTCTGCAGTAGGGCCGGGTCAGCTCCGCGCCGCGACCGCTCAGTTGCAGCTCGGCGCCGCGGCGTCGGCCTCTGTTTCAGTCAGCGGCTGGAGGCGGGGTCAGAGTCGGGGCTGAAGCCGGAGTTTGATTTTGAGCCGGAGCTGGAGCCAAAACCGGAGCTGTATCCGGAAGCGGAGCTCCGTCTCACCGACTGATTAGGCAGAGGAGTGGGCGGAGTGGCTGTTGGGATGGCCAGGGGCACATGGACACTGGTAGATGAGGGGCATTCGATTTGACGATGGGTCTTTGATTTGGGAAGCTCATGCGGTACTGATTCACAGAGGAAGGTCAGCCAGCACCAAGACAAAGAGCAGAGCTGCAGGGAAATGGTCACTGGTCGGTCAGCATCAGTTCAGAGAGCTGGGGAAAGGTCTGTGGCAAGGGGAGGTCAGATAGTTTCGGCCGCCTACAGCGGGTCAGGAGGTGCCGTCTCCGTCGTTGGGTCCGCTCGTACCCGCTCATACCGAGCTCGTCTCAGATCAGCCGCAGCTCAGCCCAGCTTACGGCGGTATCTGTTCGGCACAGCGCCGCCCGTCCCGCGGGCTGGGCCGCCCGGCGCTCCGCTCTGACCCTGGCCCGTCCCTGACGACTGGTGACCTTTCTGGAGATCCGGAGGCGGCCATGACTCACCGCTCTCCTGTGATGCTCCACTCCCCTCACGTCCCGCCCGGCCCGCCTCGATAACCGCGGCTGACAGACGTGCAAACATGGAGCGCAAACGGGCGGCGGCGCTCAGCCCCGACCGGTCACCGCGCTGAGGTGCAGCTCAGAGGCTGACTCACCGACGGCCGGCTCACGAGCTCACGGCGAGCGCGGCAGGAAGTCCGCCAGTTCCCCGGGCCGGTCGTTCGTGCCGAGCTGGAGGGCGCGGTACGGCGGACACCGCCGCCGCGAGCTCTGTTCGGATTATGACTGGACATTATTACACGGCGTCGAGGTGGAAGGATTTGGATTGGCCTCACTTTTGTGGCGGACGAAGGCGGAGCCCGGACCGGTAATTTGGGAGCGCTGCTCTGTTTTATTTCCTGTTCCGGTCTGTTCCATCGCGATCTGTCTTGCGGTGCAGTGCCCTGACGGCACCGGTGTTGTAATTTGGCGTATGTGTGTGCTCAGCGTGCTCCCTCGCCGTGCCTGTCGGTACGGGCAGTGTCATTTTCTTTGTGCTGTCCAGTCTTGCCGGATGCCCGGGGCGCCGTGTCGCCAGCCGTGCCCGCGGCGCTGCAGCATTCCCCGCAGCGCGGTCCCATTCCTCGGGCCGGTGTGTGTCGGCGGTCGGCGGTGTGGGAGCGGCGGCCGGCCCGTTCCCACGGCCCGCAGTCCCGGCCATTGTCGGCCGAGTGCGCGTGCCGCCCGGTCCGGCCCGCAGTGGGACGCCGCTGACCTGACCTGACCTCTGGACTGGTGGTACGCTGCCGACGGCCGGTCACGAACCGGGTCACCGTCCCAGCGGTGATCGGTCCGAGCGAGGTCAGAACTCAGCGGCGGCCGGCCGGTGGACCGAACCGAGCGGTAAGAGCCGTAACAAACTGACTATGCATGTGGGTACGGGGCTTGGTCAGCGAGCGAAGCAGGAGCGAGGGACCAACGCGGAAGTGGATGAACGTTTGCGCGGGTTATGTCGACGGATTCACGGCAGAGTCTGAGCGTTTTTTTTTTTTAAACTCTTTCACAACTGCTTTTCATCTCCCTGAAATCTGTCACTGTTCTATAAGCACTTCGATCTCTTTCAAACTACAGCAGTGCTCGTCGCTTGCCACTTGACACGAGCATTCCGACACCATCCCATCGGCCATGTTCCCTTTATCTGCGATACTGCCTGTGTTGACCTTACAAGATTGCTGTGTACTGAGGGGCTCCGTTTGACATTCTAATAGCCAGGTCATAAGAGCGCCATTTTCATGTAATCCGATGTTACGTTTTCGCCGCCAATGTCTAAATGTTGACCTTGCAATATTACTTCGGCTTAGCCGAAACTGTCGTGATATGCCAGCGTCCTGTGCCTGATAACCCCTTCTGTTAGTTTGCTTTTCAGTTTCGACCAAATACCAGCTCAGATATGGTTTACTAGCGACACCTCACAACCCACGAACACGCCACATTACCAAGTCTTTGTTCGTCAGAGGCTTACTCTTAGCATTACCTCTGGAGTGCTTGCTTGATAGGTAGGTTTTTAGGAGATAAACACGAATCACGTCCCACTTTACTATCAGGGGATTCCCGCCGACGGCAATATCCGTATCTGCCAATGATTCATCCCACAGTGTGAAGGTTCAATAGACTGTTTCGTTGTGTCCCAGCACGGCGATCGTGTCAAACGTGACACTTTCTCTTCGTCCACGAGCTGCGCGACGAACCAGGATATGCGCGTGCAGCGTGGTGCGAGCGGCACTCTGCTCTGCGTGTGGCGGCCATTGTGTCCAATCACAATTGGTAACAAAGAGCTGAAAGGAGACTGTGTCGCCACACGGCCGGGCGTGTCGCCCACCGCCAATTCCATGGTCAGGAGCGGGCGTGTGGGCCGGTCGGTGGTGTGTCGGGTCGGTTCGGGCGTCGACTGCCATCCAAGGTCGGGTTGCATCACTGACCGTGGCAGATATCGAACGTCGAACGCACGAGCCGCGTCTCTGACCTGGCCTGACCTGACCTGACCCAGGCGTTAGACAGCAGTCTCCTGCCACAGCTGAGGTCATCTGTGCTCTCTGTGAGGCAGGCAGTGCTGAGCATTGAGCATGAGCACCCTCTCAGATCTGACCTGACCTGACCCGGGTGGTAGACAGCAGTCTCCTGCCACAGCTGAGGTCATCTCCGGTGCTCTGCGCCACAGCAGACAGTGCTGGTCAGCTCGCGACTGACCAGACACAACTGCCATTGATCGCTCGTGGTGAATGAGAATGAGAGATTTACGTGAAACTATGCGCTTATCGATGTAAATTGTATTTCTCTTTTTGCAAAGAGGGAAATCTTGCGGCGTTTTTACACTGTTCAGTTGTCATGGAGCTGATCAGTTAATTACTTTTGGTCGCGGCCGATTCACCACCGTATCTGCCGGGGAGACTCCCGCTTTCCTGGTAAGGCCGGCTCACGGCCGCTCTCCCAAATATAGCCGGCGAACACCTGACTGGCGACGCCGGTGTCGGCAGCGTGCCAGCCCTGCCAGCCCTGCCGCACGTTCTGCAACACACGGCGTCGCTTGCATCAGTCATGAAGCGTTGGGAACGAGCACTCCATGGCGTCATCGGAAGGCGGTGCGCAGCGCCGCCGGCCGGCCGCCGGGCCTCACGCATCACCCGCGCTGGTTCCGTGCTGCGGTGCACCGTTCGCGAACAACGGCGAACAGCGGCGTCCGTGGTACCGCTACACGGTCCGGGCGGGATTTCGCGTCCGGCGCATGACGCTGCTGTTGATGCCTGCCGACTTCCGCTCTCTGCGGCCACTGAGGTGGCTGAGCGGCGGCCGTGCAGCGCCGGCCGTACCTGCCCTGCCACCGAGCACGCCTGCAGCTGAGCACGGCGCACGTCGACCAGCCAAGGCCGGCGGCGACCCGGGCCGTGACGTCACGCCGCTCCACCGGTGACGTCACGCGGGGCCGCCGGCCGCTCGCCGCTCGGCGCCGGCTGCCAGTTGTCGACAGGCCGTCGGCGCGCTGAGGTGCGCAGTGGCTATCAGTGGATCCCGGACGGCCGGCGCGCTGCTCAGTGGACTGTCGGCGCCGACGGTGATACGTGGCCGCGTCAGAGGACTCTGCCACGTCGGGCCCGGTGCGCGGGCCGCCGGGCGACAGAACGGGGTCGGTGCGCGCTGGCTCGGCCGGCGCGGCGCCGCAGCAGGGCACGCCGACCACAGGCCGCCGCCGGCGACTCATTAGGGGCATCGCGCCGTCGTTCGGCTGCCACACCGGCTGGATGACCCGACACGACCCCATGCGGTTCATGGAGAACATCTTCGGCATCTTCGGCCACCCGTCGGCGTCGCCGCCGCCGGTCAGCACAGGTGAGCGAGAGGCTGCCGAGCGCGGCCGTCCCTCAGGGACAGTCACCCGGACACTGCAGGGGGAACGGGAGAGAAACGGGCTTCTACTCCCCTGGGGCCCGCTCGACTGAACTCGACTCGTCTGCTCTCGAACGTAGTACGATGACCTTCACTGGCCGCACGGGACCGGCAGTAGTCGAGACGGAGTAACCCGCTTTATTTTACAGCGCGATATAAACCGATCTAATTCTTTACGGCTGAGCTGTCCGAGCTGCCGCTGGCTACCGGTCAGCTGTGTGCTGAGGCCGGGAGCTGAGGTCGCTAACCCCGACCAGAGCTGAGGTGGCCCCTGTCCCACTGTAAGGTGGCCATTGTCCTGCTCTCGTTGGCCCCTGCCCGGCCGGTAGCTATCCCCTGTCGGTGGCAGTACGATGGTCCGCCCGCTCAGCTGTCACAGTCCTCCCTCCCCTCCCGCCCAGCTGGCCGGCCGGGCGGACCTCTCTCAGTTGGAGCGCTCCCAGCCGGCCGGCTATTATCGAACGAGCAGCGGCGGGGCTGCAGCTCTGTTCGAGGAACGCCCTTTGTTGGGCTGCCCACTGCTGGCCACTCGGCGGCGATCGGCGCTGCTCCCGGTACTCGGAGAGCCTCTGCGGCCGGCCGGCATGCAGCCCTGCCTTGTCTGGTGGTCCGTGAGCGGACCTCGGCACGTGGCGCTCGGCCGTAGGCGGCAGTGTCTGTGCCGGGATCAGCTGATCGGTCGGCGGAGACGGCTCGGAGTGGGTCACCACTGCCTGCCGGCGCCAGACCGGACAGACCGGACCGTGGTCCATCGCCGCCGACACACCGGCCGCGGCACAGCGACCCTGGCCGGCCGGCGAGAGCGGCCCCGGGCGGCGCCGGGGCCAGCGTCGCAGGCAGCGTGGGTGGCCGAGCTGCCGAGATTCACCGACTCAGCAGAACGGACCACGCGTGTGCATCAACTCAGCAGTCTGAGCCGGCGCGTGGGTGCTGAGTCGGTAGTTTCAGCATCTCGATAGTGTCGGCTGACACGTGTGCCGTTTGTTGTCACTCTGTCGACAGGTCTAACTGGTGTCCAGTTCGTCTGTGAACCGCTGGTCACCTGTTCAGCAGGTTGTAGCTAGGTAGCACCGCTTTGTTGGTGACATCAGCCGGACGTCTTAGGTGGTCAGCTGGGTGGCTGCGGGCTGGGGAGGAGTCGGCCAGGATGGTTCTTGTCACTGTTCCCGGCCAGGAATAGACAGGTCAGCTGGGACGTGGCCGCTGTCCGTTTTTACCGGTGGTCGTGACGCGCCACCGCCGCCGCTGTCGCTGACCGCTGACCGCTGTCCGTACGTCCGCCCATCCGTCTGTCGTGTGTCACGGGGCTGCGCGGGGTCCCTCCGGTCTCTGGCGGCGGTACCCGGCTACGTCGGCACATCTCTGAGACCCCGTGACAACGCTGGCAGCCGTCTGCGGCGCATTCCCGGCCGGTCAGCTGATGCGCCTCCCCCGCGGCCGGCGACGGACGGGCGGCACCCTGCCAGCTCCGCCGCCACCCGGAGGCCTGGCTCGACCGGCCGGCCACGCCGCCACACTTTTTGTGCCCGGTGGTGGCTGCATTGTCGTCCCTCCCCTGCTGCCAGGGAGGCAGCACTGTCCGATGTGCGCGGCCGTCCCCTCCCAGGCCTACCGTCCCGTCCGAGCGCCGTGTCGGGCCGTCGGCACCCGGCCGGCTCTCGGCGGCAGCGCTGTTTGTTGTTACAGAGTCCGTCGGCGGCTCGCCGCCCGGCCGCCGGCGTACGCCGCGCCGGAGCCGGTGAGCCGCTGTTTATCGAGACACCGTATCGGAGCCGTCGCCACCTCCGGTTCCAGCCGACTCGGCCGGTGCGTCGGCCGGTCGACGGGCCGACCTGTTTGTTTTTGTCGTATCGGCCGGCAATCAGTGCGCCTCCCGCCGCTCACGGCGCCGGCTGACCGCTGTTTTTGCCCTGTCCGGCCCGTTTATCAAAGAGGCTGTCACCGCGCTGCAGGGTCCGATGCTCGTCGTTCGGCGGCCGTTCGCCGAGAAGACGCAGCGCGGTGTATCGCCGCCGTGTACTCTGCCGTGTACTCCGTGTAGCCCGTCAGCTGTGACGCCGGGCGCACGCCTTGCATCCCGAGTGGCTGGCGCCTACCCCTGCGACTGTCCCGGCCGTGATACACGGCGAGTAATTGGAGTGGCGTGCCGGACTGCTCTGTGCTGGCGACACTGCCAGAACCACCACTCTGCTGCCTTGCGTGCGTGACGAGTGGACAGTCGTGTATCCAACCGTCGACACCGGCGGGGGCCGGGCTATGTCCTGCCTTTGTCCCCGCTCGGCTGTGACCCGCACCGCCGCTCCACAACACGCCACCAACGGGCGGCCCGCGGCTCCGGCGGCGGTGGGCGCGGCACTGCACGGAGTGACATTGAGGCAGCTCACTGGGAACGCGCCGCGGCCGGCCGAGGTCGAACAGCGCCCGCAGCTCCGGCGGTGTGATTCTGGGCCGCCGCAGCGACCGCCGCCGCCTCTGCCGCCGGCTGGCTGCCGCTCCAGATGGCGGCTCGGCCCGGCCCGGTGAATGTGCTCCGCCGCCGCTGCGTCTGGCAGACCGGGCGCGGCGCCGACCCGTCTCCCCACCCCGTGCCGCGCTGTGCTCTGCCGTTACGTAACACCTCCCGGCGCCCTGCCGCGCATGGTGGCCCCACAGCCCCATGTTTGCCTCTGGGCCACCAAAGAACACCTCCGCCGGGCCGGCCAGAGCCTCCCGTGGCCTCCGCCGCCTGGGACCATATGCCGCAGTTTGGTTTGGAGCGGCAGCCGGCGGCTCCAACGGCCGTGACGGCCGGCTCTGGTGGCCGGATGGCAGCCCCAGACACCGTTACTAGCGCCGAACACAAACACGGCCGAAACGCGGGCAGTTGCGGCACGGCCGCTCCCTGAAATGGTCCCCGGATGAGCCCCGTTTTGGTGGGGTTGAGGGGACTGGCGATGTGCCCACCTTCTGACGGCGTGCCCTCGGGCGCTGACCGACCTTCGCCAGGGGCGCCGCGCGGGGCGGGCGCCAATCAATCAGCTGACACCGGCCGGCCGAGCCTGGCACTCGCCCCCAGCCGCCTGTGTCAACGGAATGGCACACTGGACGCTCAATGTGTTTATGTATGTATCGGAGCCAGCTGTCTGCAATCGATACGGCCGACGATGGCCACTGACCGACTGGCCTGGTCGCTGCTCTGCTGAAGGACAGACGCTGCAGCGGGCGTCAGACAGCGCGCAGTCCCGACGACCCAACACCACTCGATGGCGGACCATCGACGCGTCGTTAGCGACTGGATGACGTCAGCCACCGGCGCTGATGACAGCCCTGATGACGGGTTAGGGCCGGGTAGTCTGTCCTGACGGACGTCGTCACGACACCGGCCGACAGGACAGGTGCGTCGGGCGCCGGCGGTGGGCTCGGTTTGTTCGTCGGTCGCGGGGTCACGGAGCCGGCCTGTGACTGCCGCCGGGCCGCGCCTCTCCCACAGAACCGTTACCGCTGCTCCGAGTGGTTCGCGCATACCATTTCTCGGTCAAGTGTCACCTGTCTGATGAGTGTCGGTGGGCGCGCCCGTGCGACTGCGTGTGGTCCGTATGGTTTCCGGCCGGCCGGCGTGTCGCTGGGTCGCGCCGCGCGGCTCGTTAGTGGCGAGTAGCGGTACACGTCCGACCGGCAGACGGTGACCGGACTGACCCGCCGCGCTGACCCGCGCCGCCGCCGCGCCGCCCGGTGTAGCGGTACCGCCGCCGCCGACTGTCGGACGGCGGAGGAGAAGATGGGCTCTGGTGGGTGGTAGCGGTTTGGCGGTGAGGTGTGATGGGAGTGTCTGATTGACCTGACCCGGCCGAACCTCACCCGATCATACCTTTGAAGGCTCTGGGGCCCGACCCGACCCGTGCCGTATTCGGCTCTCCCTCGTATATAGACATGTTGCCCATTAGTTTGCGGTGAACTGGATGAATACCGTCCTGTAAGTCCATGACAGGTTCCTAGCATATTTATTTGGTAAACCCGCTCAGTAGCGGTCAGGCTTGCGCAGATTTGTCCATGCAACGCAGATGCAGCCTGGTTGATTCCGCAACGGCACTGCGCATTGCATCCCGACGCGTAGTTGCCGACACGGCAGCGATCATGGACACCCGAGACACCCATCTGAAGCTGCCGTCCAGCTGCAGCAGCTGTTCCGCCGGCTGCAGCAGCTGTCCCGCCGGCGGCCGGCCGGGGAAACTGCGCCGGTCTCCGTGCCATATCACTGCCGTCTCGGCCGCCGCCCGCCGACCTGAGGCCTGTCGCGGCGGCCAACAGCTGCGTCTATTTGTCATCGCCGCCGGCCGAGGCCGTTTTGCCCCGCTGTCACCGCCGCCGCCGCTGCCGCGCTGCTTCTACGGAGCAGAGATACATTGTAACAATTGCGTCGGAGGTGTGCGTGGTGTGGCTGCGTAGCGCGGTGGAGGAGACGTGGGTGGTCCGCCGGGAGGACGGACCCGCGTCATCACCACCGTCCTGCCGCCGCGCTGCCACCCTGTCAGCCGGCGGAGACGCTCACTCTCACTGACGGGGACGGCCCTCCTCCTCCGACGGTGGCGGCGGCTGGACAGAGGCGGTCGGAGCCGGATAATCCACCGTCGCCCCCTGCCCCCTCCACCCCCGGCCGACTGACCAACCAACCGACCGGGCGGCGGCGGGGGCGGCTATGTCGATAATTGGTAATTGCCCGCCGGTGGACCGTTGATTAGCGGGTCGCTCGTGCCGCCGGTATCTCCCCCACTGGGACACAGTGTTTCGGAGAGACCAGCCTGGCTGGCGCGGGCCACCGTTCCTGGAAGCCTTCCCGGTGGTATTCGATTGAAGGTGAAATTTGCATACCGCCGGGACGAGTAGTGCCAAAATCAAAGCCAACGAGGAAATTCGGGCCAGTCTGACTGGAATGGAACTGGTTTGATGTAAAAATATGTCCACAT